TATATATAGGTATATATGTATATATATATAGGTATAATATTCGCGATTTTATATTGTAAGATATAAATGTTAGACAAAGAACAATTAATACATGTAATAATGCATTCTCCATCAATAATGCAAAAGGATATAAACGTGTTTTATGAAAAAAAAATTTGTTTTTTTTTTTTAAATGCTACACTATTTAAATACGCAAAATAAAAAAATTAGAATCATTTCGCATCTGTATTTTTAGTCTTTGATAACATGACCAACATCTATATAGTATAAAAAAATAAGAAGTATGTAATAGAAAATTATGTATAAGTTAAGTACAACTAGTGTATTTATTTTTAAAACTGCACCACTCGACGGGGGGATTATCAGGGCAGTCACGTGAGCGCCTTGGATCCGGACAGCGAGGATATTCCTCTACTGAGAACAGTCAACGAGTTCAACCTGGCCAACAGTTTTTGGTTTACGGTCGGCACACTTATGCAACAGGGCAGCGACCTCAACCCTAAGGTAAACGTGCCACCACAGAGTCAAACGCGCCCCGAAAAACAACATTCTCCTTTTTTATTAACAAACATATACGCAATTACGAACGTCCTCGACGAAATTCGTATTAAAAGACTCGCGGCACCGACTAACTTTCCCGACTAATTAAAAAGGACCGTATGATTTAAAAGCTCGTTCTGTTTTAAGCGTCCCTTTGATATTTTCTATGACTGCAAAATATTCATTTATGTAGGTAGGATAATAACAAGACCAAAATATGGTAAATTAATTTACTGCCCCTCGCTTAAGGGGTCTCACCACCCCTGAGGCCCTAAAATGATACTTAAGTTTGGGATTTTTTGTGGGTAAATAAATAACTTTATTTAAAAGCTGTTTAGAGGACATTATTGTACATATATAAGAAACTAAAAAAATATTTTTTTATTTTTTTTTATGTACAAAATGACGGCGCAATGGCCTACTTGCGGAATCCCTTTTTTCTGTTTTTTCAAATCGGTGTACAGGATTCCAGGCGGTTTGATCTTGAACAAAACACAAAGAATTTTCATTGTCTACATATTAAAGACTATAGAAATACGTAGAGATTTTTTAAAATATTGATTTATCTC